AGATAGGAGATAGATAGATAGATAGATAGATAGATAGATAGATAGATGATAGATAAGATAGATAGGTGATAGGTAGGTAGGTAGGTAGGTAGGTAGATAGATAGATAGATAGATAGATAGATAGATAGATAGATGATAGAATTCAGGGGTCTTCAAACTCAACAGCTTTAAGACTTGTGGACTCCAACTCCCAGAATTCTTCCTCCTCCAGTCACGTTAGCTCAGGAATTCTGGAAGTTGAAGTCTACAAGTCTTAAAGTTGCCAAGTTTGAAGACCCTTGCATTAGAACCTCGATGCTTAGATTTGAGAAAAGGTATTTGGGAGCCACACCCCCTCACTCATTGTAGGAATGTACCTACCGCATTCAGTTTTGGTCACCGCACTATAAAAAAAGACGTTGAGACTCTGGAAAGAGTGCAGAGAAGAGCAGGATGATGAGGGGACTGGAGGCTAAAGCATACGATGACCGGTTGCAGGAACTGGGCCTGGCTAGTCTAGGGAAGAGAAGGACCAGGGGAGGCAGGAGAGCAGCCTTCCAATATTTGAAGGGCTGCCACAGAGAGGAGGAAAGGGGGTCAAGCTATTCTCCAAGGCATCCAAAGGTCAGACAAGGAAACTGACCAAGGAGAGATTCAGCCTGGAAATAAGGAGAAATCTTGCTCACACCAGCAAATACTGTTTCAGTTTCCAAACAGCCCTCAACTCACACACTTGACAGGATGCTAGCCAGAGGAACACCGATGGATGCTGGTAGGCAGAGGCAGAATTCCCCCCCCCCCTTATTTTCCTCCCCCCAAACTAAGCCCGACCACATAGTTTCGTAGCGAAGCACGGGGATCCAGCTAGTCCTCGAATAAGCTCTTCTGTGACTCTCCATAGGTGTCCAACCTCCAGAGCTACCTGAATGAGAAACAGCTCCGATGGGCCGACGGTTTCGTCGTCGTCTACAGCATCTGCGACCGGGCCAGTTTCGCTTTCGCCCGCCGTCAGCTCCATTGGCTCCGACGTTTGAAGAGGAGGAACGGGGCAGGGCGGAGGCCCATCGTCCTGGTGGGGAACAAACGCGACTTGGCGCATCAGCGGGCCGTGTCCAGCGAGGAAGGCCGACTTCTGGCCCTGTCCACCAACTCTGGCTTTTTTGAAATTTCCACCGCCGAGACCTACCACGGCTCCCTGCTGGTCTTCCACGAACTTCTCAACATGGTCCAGGACTCGAAGAGTTTCACAAAGAAGGCGGTGGGCCTCCGGGAGATAGTCCGCAGCATGTCGGCCATCTTTGGGCGGAGGAGGACCCAGTGAAACTTGGGCTGGGGGAAACTAAGAGCAAATGTTGAAATATAGAAGACGCTGACGAGGGCTGCTTGAACCTGATCAGAGATTGCTTCTCGCAGGAACGCTCAGATTAAAAAAAAAATAAAAAATTACAGAAGGAAGCAAGGAAACACGTACGTGATGTGCTGGTTTCTCTCTGCACAGCTTGAAATGTTCTTCCTGATTGCCATGGGAAACCAGTGAGAAATAGTAAATCTTCCTGTGCTAGCAGAACAATTGTCTCTCTAGCGATTGGCACAGGGCTCCATTTCTAAGAGAGAGTACGGCTTATTGCTCAGACTTTGAGAATATGGAACAGGAATAAACGTAGATGTTCTTGGATGACAGGCATTTTAATAACCTGGCATCTATACAGAATACCAAGAGTTGGAAGGGATCTTAGAGGTCTTCTAATCCAACCCCCTGCTTAGGCAGGAAGAACTAAGAGCATATGGTTGTCTAATCTTCTTAAAAACTTCCAGTGTTGGAGCATTCATAATTTCTTGGAGGGAAGCTGTTCCACTGGTTGGTTGTTCTCACTTGCAGAAATTTTCTCCTCCTTAATTCCAGGTTGCTTTTCTCCGTGATTAGTTTCCATCTGTTGCCTCTTGTTTTGGCTTCAGGTGTTTTGCAGAATAGCTTGACACCACCACCACCCCCACCCCTTCGTTACGGCAGCCCCTCAAATACTGGAAGACTGCTATTGTGCCTCCCCTAGTCCTTCTTTTCATTAGACATATCCACTTCCTGCGACTGTTTTTTATGTTTTAATCTCCAGCCCCCTAATTCTCTTTGTTGCTCTTCTCTGCATTCTTTCCAGAGCTTCGACATCTTTTTTATAATATGGTGACCAAAACTGGATGAAGTATTCCAAATGTGGTCTTACCAAGGCATTATGAAGTGGCATTAACACTTCACACGATCTTGATTCTGTTCCTCTTGTTGATAACAGCCTAGGATTGTGTTGGCTTTTTTGGCAGCTGCAGCACAGGGCTGGCTCATATTTAAGTGACTGTCCACTAGGACCGCCAAGATCCTTCTCACAGTTACTACTATTGAGCCAGGTACCACCTATATACCACACCTGTGCATTTGGGGTTTTTTTTGCCTAAATATAGAACCTCACTCTTGCCACCACTGAATTTCATTTCGTTAGATAGTGCCCAGTGTTCAAGTCTGTCCGGATCCTTCTGTATCTTGAGCCTATCTCTTGGAAAGCTGGCTATTCCTGCCACCTTGGTGTCTTGTCTGCAAATTTGACAAGTTCCCCATTTATCTTCTCAACCCAGGGCTACATCCTGCAGGTCCAAGAACGTGAAAAGAGCAGAGACCGATATTTCTCATCCATTTGTATATACTTAGAAATACAGATGTTTATATATAACACTCTCACTTTGCAGCCAATTTTTTTTTTGTTTAAATGGAGCAATTCCTCCAAAACATCAATACATTTCTGAAGTCTTTTGGAAACTCTGCAGGGACTGAAGAAATTATTAGGTTTGTTGGGAAGAAAATAAGAGAGCTGACTTCAATGCAAAAAATGTACTGTACTTGCCAGCATGCAGCCCAGTCTTTGCCCAGCATGCTTTCTTCAATTAAGTTCTCAGATAAGAGGCTTTTAGCTCTTTGGATAGTTAGGCATCACGCCAAGTTCTTTTCCAGTCCCAGTTGAACTCTGTACAATTCCCTTTTTAAAAGAAGTACAGTGTAGGAGGGAAGGCAAAATGGGTGACGTGTTTTCATCTCTTCTTACCATGTTTGATTAAAACTTTGGAAATCAGAGTGGAGCTATAGATTAGGTCTGGATTTGGCAACCTAAGTATTTTTTTTAAAAAAATACATTTTTATGGATAAGTGTTGTGGTTCACTGGCAGCCGGTGCAGCCGGCAGCAGAATCGGACAGTGGGGAAGAACGGGGACCAGTCTGGGAGTCTGGAGAGGATTCGGACGAGGGTCCTGGGTCCGATGCAGAGATGGGGCCCGGGCCATCTGGGAGTGGGGGGCTGACTCCGGAGCCTCCGGAATCTGGCAGCAGCGAGGCAGAGGAGTAAGGGGAGCCTGTTCCCAGTGTGCGTGTGTGCAGAGCTGCTAGAAGGCGAGAGCAGCTGAGACAAAAGGGGCAACTCTGGAGTAAGGCTGGGAGGCGATTGCCCCTCCCAGAAGATATAAAAGTCAGGCCAAGATGACTAAACCTTTGCAGGAAGCAAAGTAGTTTGATCAGTTCAGAGTCCTCCTTGAAGCTCTTTGTACTTCGGTTGGTTTCTTTTCTAGTTCATTTGATACTTGTTTTTGGCGCACTTCACAAAACGGAAAGGTGTGTGCTTATCTTGGGGAACTGTTTAAGATTAGCATTCCAATAAAATCAGCCTTGCTTTTAAAATAAGTTTGTGTGTGATTACCGTTCAGGAAGTCTGGGTCAGAACAATAAGATGCAAACTGCCGTGTTCATTTGAGGTTCATTATTGGAGTTTATTCCTTAAATTACAGCCATGCCAAGTGCTATAACATGCTGCTTTTTAACATATAAAATGCACCTGAATGATGGCCTTGATGTATTTTGAAGCTGGTTCACACCTATGATTCTACTACAGGTAGTCCACAACTTATGACCAAAATGGAGCCCAACATTTCTGTTGTTAAGGGAGAGAGTTGTTAAGTTAGGTTTGTCCCATTTTATGACCTTTCTTGCCATAGTCGCTAAGTGAATCACTGCAATTAATAAGCAACCCAGTTGTTAAGTGAATATGGCTTCCCCATTGACTATGCTTGTCAGGAGGACACTAAAGGGGAACATGTGACCCCAGAACACTGCAACTGTCATAAATATGAAACAGTTGCCAAGCAACCTAAAATTTTCAGGGATGCTGCAAAGGTCATAACTGTGAAAAACGGTCATCAGTCACATTTTTTTAAGTGTTGTTTTAACTTGGAACGGCCACTAAATGAAGTCAAGGATTACCTGTACAGTACTTTTGTTGTTGTTGGCGTGATATTGTGTAATTCCCAAACCCTGTGGTATGAAAATCATTGCTTGTAACCGGTATGAATGAGGCAAACTGTGGTTTCTTCAACAAAATTAAAACAAATGATGGTTTTGTATTGCCAGCCTATTGGAATGCCAGTTTTCATTATTTCTTCCTCAAGCCAGCCATTCTCTCATCTGCATGAAACATTCCAGGTGGCCAATATTTGGATTTGCAAGATAAAATGCCATAAGCCAAGGGTCTTCAAACTGGGCAAGTTTAAGGCTTGTGGACTTCAACTCCCAGAATTCCTGAGCTAACATGACTGGGGGAGGAGGAATTCTGGGAGTTGAAGTCCACAAGTCTTAAAGCTGTCAAGGTTGAAGACCCCTGATCTATCACCTATCCATCTATCATCTCTCTCTCTCTCCGTACCTACCTACCTACCTACCTATCAATCAATTTATCATCTATCTATGTATCATCTATCTATCATCTATCACAAGAGTCTTCAAACTTAGCAAGTTTAAGACGTGTGGACTTCAATTCCCAGAATTCCTGAGCTAACTCCAGAACCGTAAAGCCTACAACCTTGAAATTTAGCACATAGGTTCCTCTTGGCTTCTAGGTGCTCACTAAGAAAAGATTTTTCGAAATTACCATCAGAGCATTAGTATTTCCAATATTATTATTATTAATGTGCTCTGATGCTAAGGAGTTCTCCCCCTTTCCCCCCTGAAAAGAAACCTGTTCCAAATGCAAAACACAAGCAGAGGAGAGGAGTTTCAGTTTCACAGCACCAAGCAGCTTTAGTACAGAACAGTTGAGCTAAGCCACGCCCAGGCTCCTTGCTGTCTCCTTGCTCACACAGCAAATACTCTTTCAGTTTCCAAGCAGCCCTCAACTCTCACAGACAGGATGCTAGCCAGAGGAATACCGATGGATGCTGGTAGGCAGAGGCACAATTCCACCCCCCCTCCTTTATTTTCCTCCCCAAAAACTAAGCCTGACCACATAGTTTCGTAGCGAAGCGCAGGTGTCAAGCTAGTGTACTAATATGTAAGCAGGTTAGATACGTAATATGTAAATAGAATTAAATAACAGAGTTGGAAGGGACCTTGGAGGTCTTCTAGTCCAACCCCTGCTCAGACAGGAAACCCTATATCATTTCAGACAGGTGGCTGTCCAGCCTCTTCGTAAAGTCCTCCAGTGATGGAGCCCCCACAACTTCTAGTGGCAAGCAGTTCCACTGGTTAATTGTTCTCACTGTCAGGAAATTTCTCCTTAATTCCAGGTTGCTTCTCTCCTTGGTTTGTTTCCATCCATTGTTTCTTGTCCTGCCTTCGGTTCAAAGTACCGTACTTTGGAGAATAGCTTGACTCCCTCTCCTTTGGGGCAGCCCCTTAGATATTGGGACATTGATGCCATGCCACCCCTGGTCCTCCTTTTCATTAAACTAGACACAAATGTATAAGCAGCTTTCGTGGTCTCCCAGGGTAACAGCATTTTCTAGAAAGACCATGGCTGCAAATGTTGCTAGCACCAAATTGGACGAGACAATTGGTGTGAAAAGCACACACCGGGAGGACTTGCCAAGCAGCTTGGAAGGCCACAGGGCTGCTGCACACAAGAGGCGCCACCTGAGGCTGGTAAATTTCCATCCCACAAGAGGAAAAGTACCCCCAAACTTTGTGCCGCTGCAGGAAACATTTGAAGGGTTGAGAGAGCCTCAGATTAACAGAGTTGGAAGGGACCTTATAGGTCATCTAGTCCAACCCCCCGCCCAAGCAGGAGACTACACAAAATTCATTCATGGCCCCCCCAAAAATCCTGGGTGTCTTCTGTCCCCTGCAGGATAAGTGGCTACACAACTTCACAGCCCACAATAAGGAAGAGAAGTCCAACGATCTCAGATTCAAGTCACTTAGAGGCTGTAACACTTTTTGGTGCATGGAAAAGTCACATATCTGAACAGCCCTACCCCCCCAAAATCCTCAGTTGTTTAGAAAAATCCAACAAGAGGAGGAAGTATTTCTTAAGAGCTGCGTGGTACTGTCTGGGGAATTCTGGGAGTTGAAATTCACCTATCTTGAAGCTGCCAAGATTGGGAAACATTCAGTGGTGGGATTCAATTTTTTTTACTATCAGTTCTGTAGGCGTGGCCTGGCTTGGTGGGCCTGGCAGGGGGAAAGTTACTGCAAAATCCCCTCCCCTCCCCACCCCACTAACCTGCTTTCCAGCTCCGTTCTCCTGTGCAGGGCAACCAAAGGAGACCCAGCCGATCAGCTGGGACTCAATGGGAGGCAGAGAAGAGACGAGGTTGGCGGGGCCAGTCAGAGGTGGGATTGGCCGGTTCTCCAAACTACTCAACATTTCTGCTCCCGGTTCTCCAGAACCTGTCAGAACTGGCTGAATACCCCCTCTGGAAACACTGCATTAAGACAGGGATCCCCAAACTTCTCCAGCCAGCTATAC